AATATTTATTATCGGTATAGATGTGTATATATATATTTTTTGACGTGGGGATCGATACCTTGCAAAACTATATCGATGGCATGTCTAATAAGATCACTTTAATGTTTAAGTTAGTAAGGATTTAGAGAGTTCGACCAAATGTCGAGTGAGAGAGAGAGAGAGAGATAGACACTTGAAAACATATATGAAAATATATATGAAGGTCTTTTATAGTTGCGACTAATCATGAGAGAGATAGACACTTGAAAACATATATGAAAATATATATGAAGGTCTTTTATAGTTGCGACTAATCATGACTAATGCTAAAAATGATTATGTATACCATCCGACTATCGTATCGATGGAGTAGTGACTTAAAGTCTTTTATAGTATAATATATGAATTGAGATCGTAATTAATATCAGAAACAATTAAGAACACCATCCGACCATCAATAAGATCGTAAAATCATACCTCAAATTCGAGAGAGGCAGAGTAATGACTTGTTGAATAGCATCATCAACCTCATAGCCATATCGTCCCGTCGTCAACAACGCTGTGCTCAACTTTGACATGTAGGCAAAGATTGAGTTTATCCTTGTCATTAGCAAATAAACAGTTAAACTTAAATGATCTATGCTAAACTGTGATCATTACGCATTAACATAACCAAAAGCTGTTTGCAATTTCATGAAATTATTCAATCTGTCCTCAAATATATAATACAATAAATGAGAAAAAAACTTGATACATGCAACACAAGTAATCATATTCCCCAATTGTGTTGTTCCACAAAATGCTAGATTTCCACATCAGGGAAGCCTCTTCGATCAACAACTAAAGGCAGCACCAGCATTTAAATTCACAATTCTGCAGTAAATAGCACAAGTTTCGAATTTTACCCATACATCACATGCTTTTGAATGTCTTTGCCTTCCTTTTTCTGGTCAAATTATTATGTCTTCCTGCCATCCTCAAATCATCCCCAGAGTGTTTGATTCCAAGCAAACATAGACGGTTCACCATGCAAAACAAGAACATTATGGGGATTATCAACTGCATTTATAGATGTAGGTTGATCTTCTCTGACCATTTGAATATATCAGAATAGACTTGGTCACCACCCAACTCCTCTCCAGAGGCTCCTGCTGCTACTCTGATGATGTCCTCTATTAAAGCAAAGTTGCCCATTATATCGACATGGGCACCACTCTGTGTTCCACGGCCTTCCAAGATATTAGCTGGAGGAGCATGATCGTACTCCCTGATGAATGTCTTAATACCAGAAGGATTGAACCTTGTTTTCCCACGCCATCCTTTGGCGCACATGTAACCTGCGCTCAACACCGGAACAGTCTCATCACCATTAGCCAAGTAAATACCACCCTGCAAGCTGCTTCCTTCATGCCCGCCATTGGCAGAGCTATCAATCTGAAACGGAATGTAGCACTCAGCAGAAGGTGATAATTTGTAAACATATGCTCTCTCTGTAGGTATTCCCACTCCGTACAGAGAATATATCTCCATATCAGGCGCATTTGGTAACCTGAGTAGGAAAAGATGAGGCATGGTAATTTGTATAAGCACAAAAATATTAGGAGCATAAGCATAGTAATCACGAAAAGCATAAATATTACTCCTTAATAGTAAATAAAGATTGTATAGAAATGGCAAAGATTGATGTATTCTTTTGGAAATACATATAAAATTTCTTTATTAATTGATTGTATCTTTATTTCATGTTCAAACTTAATATCTTTTGAAAATACTCAATATTCATAGTACAACACATCTAAAATTTCTCATGGTAATAAGTACCAGCATAAAGATTGTCCCACTACAGGAATTCCAAAGGCTTTCTTGGTGAGAAATATTACATGTAGCATCATTCTCATGTGCATCTTCAATTCTTCTAAAAATTACCCGAGATCCAACAAAAATGACAAAACTGGAGATATCACAAGAAGAGTACATTATACAAGGGTAACTATATCTGAAGCAGCCATAAGCCAGAATACATTATGCTAAATATTCCTTTTCAGAATTTTCAAATAGAAAAGTATCTGCACCCACTCTCAATTAAATAGACCATGTCAATTATATATTTTAGTTGCTGGATTTTTATCGAGTACTTTTTAGGATACCTAGTCGATATTTTTAAGGAAATCTTTATTTATCTTGAAAAATGACACTTTTTTTATGATGAAAAGGTTTTGTTCCAGAGACATGGCTCATCCAAGCCAGTGACATGTATTTATTAGCTAGCCTAAGGCTCAGTATAATGTGCCATAGGCATACTCTTCCTGGTGCAATTTGGCATGAAGCAGATAACAAACTGACTTCACTTTTTCATAAATGTACAAGTGGATTAATCTAAAATGGAAAGAGCCTTACTTTGTCTCCAAGGGATTTGACCAATATTTGTGGTGCATGTACTTTGGGTCATCTAGATCATCAGCAATTCCATGTGAAAAATGTGCACATCCACGTTGCATCATCTTTGGAGCAACAAAATTGAGAAGATCAATGAGGGAACTAGCTGTATATACTTTGTAATCAGCAACTGCTTTGATTCCTGCCCATCCCAATTCGTGATACTCAGTCCAAATTTCTCTACATGAAACATTCGAATGAGCAACATTGTTTCCCTTAACTGCATCCTGCACTTTCAGAAAAATAGCAGAATTTAAGGAAAAATAGCTTGACAGAAAATTAAAGAAAAGTAAAATGATTTTTGACATATTCGTAACTGTACTAATCCAATTAGCCTAATCACAAGCAATGATGAACCTTGCAGTATCTATGAATGCAAGACATGAAACAGTTGTGCAAAAGAAAAATATTACCAGCTACCTAAGATTACCATGCTGCATATGACAGAACCACTTTCCTAAAGTCTGAGTGCCCAGTTGCAAAAATGATCCTGAAGTTGTTGAAGCATAAGATGATGAGCAAAACCAACTGATCAAAAGAGAAGTCGGTGACCTTTCGCATGATTGATGGTAACAGAACGAGAGTTCGTGCTATTCTTTATTAAAATTTTCATAGTCCAGCTCGAACTGAACTGAACTCGAAATGAGAGTTGGTCAACTTGCACTAAAGCCCAAACCAAGTGAAATTTTAAATTGTTAATAATAACAGACAAGAACCACACCATATCAACCAGAATGGCAAGCGATAGAGCAAAAACTCGTAAATGTCCTATAAGCAACAGAAACAAAGGTATGCAAAGTTCTACTTTAGATGCTACTTTCCTAATGTTTCCTGCCTTATCTGTGAGCCAGGGATGACGAAACTGAGAAGCAAGACTTGGGCCACTGCAAGACCAACCAGTATCATTGACAAGGCATTATCTTCTAGTTTCGACAAGGTACTTTAAGTATGGTTTAGACATAATAAAGGATATTTTATACATAATATACAGAATAAACTTCTAGTTTTGCCATGGCAGAAGCCTGGTGCATTGGATCACCCTTTATAAGACAAACTTAGCAAAATAGTTCTCCAAAAATAAATAGAAGATATTGAAAACTCATTGCAGAAGAACTTCCATGAAGAAATATCCATGAAGTATCAACAGAATATCTTATCCTTTTTTTAAATAGTTGCCTAAAAAGTACAGTACTTCAATGAAGGCTTGAATCATGATTGACATATCATACAAGTATCATATCCAACACATCCGGTATGGATACAAGAATTTTAATATACCTAAATCTCATATATGTTTTCTAACTACTTATTGTACATTCCTATAACAAAATTTCGAATGACTGACACCAACAGTGGATAGTGCGAAGGTTTATTTGTAAGGTGGTTTAGCAGGAGGGTTGTCCAGCCAAGCAAAGTTTGGTCCGTGCCCCTGGGTGTCGACCCAAATAATGTAAGCTCTGATAATCACAAGGTCAAGCCTGGGCCATGAATTGAATGTGTCTATATTCAGTCCAGAATCAAAGATAAACATCAAGTCCCATCACAAATGACATGGAGTTGCTCAGACCACTTGCCAACCAAAGTAACCATTCGGGACCTCTACATATATCTGGCCATGCTGGTTAATGCTGGTATGGGTCCAACAGAGTTTCAGGTTGATCTGATCCATGCTTGATAGGGGATGCATCATATACTTCCAGGGTCCTATTTCAATAATATTAAGAGTTCTCTTTCTTCTTCATTCTTCATTCACATGCTGAGGTAAGAGTAAGATGAGACTTAAATTAGTTGGTAAATTCAACAAGAAATTTGTTTTGATTTTACACAAGACACTGTTTAACTCAAGAAATCATTTCAGTACCTTGAATTGCTCCAATCAAGTTGTCCATAACTGTGGAAGGTTAAACAACCCTTGACTCCAAGGACTGAGGGCTCAGATCTCTTAAAAGATTTCCTTGATCAGCATCACAGAGAACTTTCGGTTGCCAAATCAAACTCAATCAAGACACATACACAAAGTAGGCTGAAAGCGATTAGTGGCGTTACTAAGGATAAGAAAAAACTCAAAACTTCAATCTCTATTTCAGAAGATGCACTTTTAAATGCTATTACTTGTCCTCCAGACAGTTCCCCTCCCCACACTTCTTAATTATATGTGTATTATCTCTTGGAATTGTAGAGGCATACGTAGTAAACCCATAAAGGATTTTCTCATGTATGCTTATAGGAAATATAGACCTCCCTAATCCTTTTGCAGGAAACTCATGC